CACCTACCTGGATGGCATTTCGGGAAACATGTATAACCTCAGGGAGAAAATTCAGAGATCGGGGTACGGTACTTGTTGAAGGAGTCCCACAAGCTGTGAACGTCATGATTCTTGAGCTGAGATGACCAGGAAAGATGTCTTTGTCCCAGTGATATAATTTTTTGAACCTTATTTACGCGACGGTGAACCAGTTGTTTATCAGCACATTATAAGAAATTTAAAACAGCGCAATAGAGTTACATGGATTTATTTGAGAAGTTATTCAGAGACGTTGCTTAGCAAAGATCCATGTTTTATACACAGGTTATATTTGTGAATATGCTGTTATAAGATATACCTACCTTTTCCAATGCACGTTTCATCTGTGAAGAAATTTACCGCTAAAGAATGTAGTTTCACTATAGAGGGTTAGACTTACACGATGAAAATTGACCAATGCACGTTTCATCTGTGAAGAAATATACCGCTAAAGAATGTAGTTTCACTGTAGAGGGTTAGACTTTACACGATGAAAATTGGAAACTGACAGAAGAATACTGTAACTGAAGCTATTTAAGAGTAGCATCATTGAAATAAACCTGATTTTAAAGTGGATTATTTTTACGTCATGGTTATTGGACCACAGGAGTTGAATGTTCAACGTAATCAACTATCAACCCACAGCATTTCCATTAAATTTGCGCGTTTGATTAGCGGGCAAAACTGTTGTAATGTTGACTAAAATATCACACTGATGGTACATCATAAAGTAAGTTGTGTGTTTTTAGTGAAAATTCTGGTTATGGCCGTATTTATTGTGCAGTTCTACCGGACACTACGGGGTCTGCAGGTCCTGGAGCGGTAGTTCCAGGGTCGGATCTAGATCAGCACTTGGGATCTCTGGTGACACCTCACAGTGGCAACAACCATCACCAGGCTGGCGCTACGAACACCACACACCACGGTGCCACCAACAACCACAACCACCACCACGAGCGAGGCGTCTCTTCAGGGTCCTCAAATACAACCTCAGGCGGGGGCCTTCTCGTACCGCGCTATCCAGGCGTTGGGTCCTCGTCCATCACTGTGTCCTCGACGGACTTCGGTCTGGGAGGACCGCGGTCTTTGTCGGATTCATCCGCTGGTGAAAGTCCTGTGGGAAGCGAGGAGATCCTGCCAACTGTTGGGGTCGGTGGGAACTCACTAGTCGGCCACCACCTTGGTTCAGGGGGAGGCAGTGTTGGTGCCGGAGGTGTGCCTGGCACTAACGGCACAAGTTTCTCGTCCCTCATGTCCGGTCACCACCACAATCAGCAAGGCTATGGAGGCGGTTCAACAAATGCAGCCGCTGCTGGTCTTTACCTCAGCACCCCAGTTCTACCAGCGTCGCTGCTCTATTCCCAACTGTACAGCGCGGCGAGCAGTCACCAAAACCACCAGTTTCATCACCTCCATCACCATCATCACCACCACACAGCCACAGCAAGTAGCCAAGACATTATGGACCACACAAATGCTGCTTCGAGTCTCGGACAACGTTCGTCAGTGCAGCAAGTTAGCGAACTTTTACTGGGAGGTGGAGGGGCTACGACAGGGCCCTGTGTAGCCGCGGTGACGTCATCGGCAGGTGCGGTGGTCCCTGGTGGACGCGGTGCTTCGGGGTTGTCGGATGACGAGCAACAGACGGCCGCACAGCAAGTTGTCGTGGGTGGTCAACAGCAGCCGAGGTCTCACACCACCGCCGACAACACAGCGGTCTGGAGACCGTACTGACTCGTCCAGGAATAACCAGAGGCCACCTTATCGCAGCTCTGCACAGCGGAAGACGGGGGTGTTCTGCACCAGGAGTTGTTGGGTGACCGTCCGCTGCAGGCCTTCGTTGGATATGGATTATTTGGAAACCCGTAGGTCCCGTCCGAATGTTAACGATATCGAATTAAGAATATTTGCCGACGTCTGTAGGTGGTTTCATAAATTAAGTGAAGTGATTTGCGAGTGATCGAACTTTAACATTTTGTTTTATCTTAAGGCCCATTCGCAATATGACATAAATTCGGTGGTTTTTCGTGAGTTGGGGAATTTCTTTCTCGAATTTATGAGACTCGATAACGCCTTTCAAAGGCAAACTTTAGAGAAGAGTACTACAAATATGAAGACAAAAGTAAATATACGAGAACATTTTATCTGAATATCATACGTGTTTATAAATATTTCATATCGATCATTGAAGCAGATAACAAATGGACGTTTCTGCAGATAAAATTAGGTATCACTACACTGATTGAAACGTGGTCGTCTAAAGTTCCATGTGTTCATGAAGAGGATGCATCAAGTTCTGCAGATACGATCTCTATCAGAAATTCAGCTTTCGAAAAAATATAGATATTTCCAACAGAAAATAAGTTTTTGTCGTCCAACTACAACACGTGCTTAAAGTTTGCGAAAGATGTAAATACTCGTTAAGTCCGTAATACACTGCAGATCAGGAAGGCGATTTCCGATATGTCACAGAACATGACAGAGCAAGGTGAAAAGGATTCTGTGTGACATGACGAGGAAGGCGTGAAAATGAACCACTTTGTTAAGTGATCCACTTGTGATGATGCATTGTCGGATGCACGTAGTTGGCCAGCGGACTCCAATGTAATGGAAAGTAAATTGAATTTCACTGATAACAACTTGAATAAACAGGAATATTAAATTTCAGTTTTTATAATTTAAGACTAGATGTTTCGTAGAATATTTTTACGTTTTAAATAATGAATATATAAAAATTAACTTTCTTGCGTTGCTAAACTTAATTCTAAACGTTTAGCAAAAGTTTTTACCTTCGATTAGCCATAGCCGAATTTTAATTAAATTTATGGAGACTGTTTCCATATTTGAAGAGACATAAAAAGCCTGGCCACTGTGAAAATATCGCGCGAGTTTATTTTCCAATTGTATCCTTATTCACCATCATTAACTTCTAAATGTATCTTCAGTTTCGGTTTGAAAGTCATTACGAATTACGGGCTTAACCTTCTCTACACGTGGTATTTAATCTTGAATTTGTCTGTCATTATTTTATCAACGAAACATCGTCTTACCAGGACCACAAAGTAAAATAGTATTGTTAAATAAGTACGTCTCAGACTTAAAAAATAAACGTGTTCACGAAAATTATTACGCAGTTTGTGATAACAACTGGAGTTGTTTTTTTCGTATATTTAATGTGTATTCAAGTTGTTACACTTTCATTATTTTGGAGTCTGTTTTTTAAACATTTAATATCTGCAAGCTGGTGCCATGATTCCACATCCTTCGGACAGTCGTTTGTGAATTTTCTTTATCATCATAATGTGATTCATGATTTCTCACACAATTCTGTAGAAGGCCGTGCTCCCTTGTCACGTAAACAACTGATTTTATATCTGAATGGTGCCATATGTTTCCATCTTTACTTCCCTCAAATGATTTACGTGCGGACGCAAACGAACTCTAGCGGCGATCACACTCAACGCTGTATCTCCTGATTCTATTTGAAGAGAGTGTATCTGCGTTTGTTGTATCATTGACTTCTTCGTTCACAGCGCGCGTTAACTAGTCAAATGAATGGAATCGTAATTAGGATTATTATAAAACTCAAGTAGGTTATCGACGAAGCGATTTTCAAGAATTCAAACACATCCCCCATTTGCACTTGAATTTTTTAGGAAAATATTAAGTTTCTCCCATTTTGATTCCAGAATCAAATCAACTCACCATCATTAAAAACATTTTAGTTTTAATTTCGTTGTTGTAATAACAAAAAGGTTTAACCTTCCGGTCATACATAACTTGGTCTTCACTGTGCATTGTGTATTGAAGAAGAAACTTAGTCCGTCATAAACCAGTTGATCTGCATCTCGTTTTGTTTGGGATTTCATTTTACAAAATAGCGTTGACGTAAAGGCAGCCATATTTAGCTACACGTTGGTGTATTTTATTTTCTTAGCTGTTATTTTCGTATTTGAGAATCTAGCGCATCAACTGAACACCAGGTGTGAGCACGAAAAATACTAACCGTCTTTGTTTCCTCTTTAAACCCCAGTGGTAACTATATATACCACTTGATTTAACAATCAGTATTCTGCGTT